TAGCGGTCGACGTCTTGGGCACCACTCGGTAGTCATCCAAAGGCATCAATTGATTGGCTTTACACGAGTCGTAAACATAAGTGACATAATAGTAGAGGCGGTCGTCTTTGTGGCACTCAATGGGGTTGTAGTCAATGGCCACCAAATTGACGGACAACGGGTCGTAACCATTGGATGAGACCATTCGTCCGCCGCCTCTGTCGATGAGTTGGCGGACGAGCCGTCGCTCAACACACGGTCTCATCGAGAACTCAATGGTCAGCGACTCGTCCGACGACTCCGTAAACAAGAGTTCACTGAATCGGAGCGAAGACATCGACGTCTTCTGTCGATGAGTTGGCGGACGAGCCGTCGCTCAACACACGGTCTCATCGAGAACTCAATGGTCAGCGACTCGTCCGACGACTCCGTAAACAAGAGTTCACTGAATCGGAGCGAAGACATCGACGTCGAGGCGTTTTCTTTGTCCCCGTCTTCCACATCACCCGACACTTCGCACGCCTTCACCACCGATGACGACGACTGTCTCCCTTCAGCCGTTGCCGAAGACATCACCGCAAAACTGGTCACTAAATGAGTGGTGAAGTGATGGTTAAATTGGATTCAATTCGTAACACATTTTTAGCGCACTTTCAATGAGACGTTAGTTTGCATTGAAATTCAAAATCATAACAAAAACATAGCATTCATTGCATTCACTCCACAGATGTCTCTCACTATTCAATAACTAGTCAATCAAACCATTCATACAATTAAGTGTTAAACAATCGGTTAAATGAATGACTTAAACATGAGAATATGCTTTAACTAAAACAAACTAGGTTATTTCGGTAACACAAATGCGTTTAATTGGCATAAATATGTAAATGTATGTCACTTTAGATTACATTTTATTTTATGATCAAAACAGTGATACAAAAGTTAGTAAAACAAAAAATAATGATCTCTTTATCACATGATTTACTCAATTAATGAATTGTATGTTTAATTCAAATTATTTTTGAAGTACTGAAACAACTGATGCGTTGATTCACTATTAGTGGCCAACTCTTTGGTCTCCATTTCGATGATAATCGTCTGTTTGTCTCTTCGTATCGCAAGACTTGTGTCTAATAAATACAACTCCTGTTCCCATAATAAGTCTCGAGATGTCTTACACTTCTTGGTCTGATACTCCGCTTCTGCATTCATCGACAGTTCGTGTCCACTGCTATCGCAATCCATATCATCGGAACCTCTCTTCCGACTCACCGTTTCATTCAACTGGTCTTTGGATTCATTATTGGCCGATATATTCATACCGTTTTGGTCATCGATGGCACTGTTATCCGACTTATCACTACTCATAGATTGGCTTTCGAGTTGGCGTTTCATTTCTCTTCTCCTCTTCCGTTGATTACTCCATACATTAGTTTGCGATCGAATCCGGAATTCGATTCGTTTTCTCGTTTTCTTCACATCAAACGAATCCAATTTCAAGTCTTCCTTCAGAAGTGATTGTATTCTTTGCGAAACCGAATCAATGGTATACTCGCATGACTTCATCAGTGGTGGCAAATAGTAGACAAGCGGTGGTTTCGGTTTAATGGCTTTCGTTACGGCAACGTCTCGGAGGTTAAGGCCGGACACCAGAGTCCACGCGATGCCCCATCTCTTTGTCAATCCCTGACAAAACTCAGTGCAAACAAAGCTATGGATGAGTCCTCTCTGGACCTCACTTTTTATAATAGATTTCAATTGTTTTAATGAACTCTTTTTGCCTAACATTGAGCTATAGATTAACACTTTGTCCTTCAGTTGTAAACTGTTTTCAATTATCTTTGACACGAACTCCACTTCACCTCCGCTGACAACCGATTCTATAGGTTTCGATGTATTTGCCGAAGACTTGTGACGGAGAGCACGCTTTCGGTCCACTTTTGATTTGAAGACAGGTTTGTCCCCCGACTCTAACGTACAGTCCATTTGGGCCTTACTTTCGGTAACGTTTGACTCAATGTCCTCTTCTTCTTCATCCTCTTCTTCATCGCTATAATTGTGTTCAAAAAATGGCGGATTTGTCATCAAAAAGTGGATCCGTTGCCCATTAGCTGACATTTGTTGAACAATTGGCGCAAAACCTGTTTCTTCATTGCATTCAATGACTGAATGAGAAAAATAGGATTAAATTCAATGCAAAACCAAATGAATTAAACCTTTTATTCGTGGGTTTAAGTGATTTCTGTTGATGTTATCGACGGCCGACTCAATGGTCACGGGATCGACATCTATGGCCACAAAACTCCAGTCCTTATTAAGTGTACAACCGATGAGCGGAAAGACAGCGCAACAACCGGTGCCCACATCCACACCAATCACTTCCAGCACTTCCCGGCCGTTACCACGAAGAAAGTCCTTTAACTTGGAGACCAAATCCTCAACAAATAGTATGTAATTAAGTCTTTGAGGAACAGTAGGTATGAGTCGATCGGCGGGAATGCGGACCTCGAGGTCGAAGTCCTTCTTCAGCAAAGTTATGGTCAATTGTCTCAATGCGTGGCAATCGTTGTAATCAAAGACCACTTTTCCTCTCGAGTCGTGTCTCACAAACGGTGCGAAAGAGGCGTAAGTTTTGGCCATTTCTGCAAAGTCTGGACGCTTTCGGTATATATTCCTCGAATGCATGAAAGCGTTTAAAGACATCTTCGGCGGTAATTATCACTCAATTTGGGTCTTAAATCACTAAACAATTGATAATAAATATTACGAAAAATGTTTTGAATTTCGTTTTGTAGACAAAAATATTTGTTTTAAAACATAAATAATGTCTCAAAATATATTGAATGGAAAATCACAGAATATTCTGTGGTTTAAATACACTGTTTTTGAAGTATAATCTATGGTTAGGATTATCTATAATTGTCATAATACGTGATTATATTAATCCTTAATCCATACACTGATTCCCACTTTACTATTAACCATATAATTAGATCATGATCAACATTTTGACAAAGATAATATCAACTCATTCTTTAGAAACCATGTTTTTATTTATATTAATAATTATTAATTAATTCATACAATTTTAATTATTTTTTTAGTTGTGTTGTAATATTTTTTGTACAAATTATAAATGCACTCATTAATTATCTAAACACTTAATTTACATTAAAATAATAAAATGATTGTATTAAATGAGTGGAAGTATAGATTTTATATGACAACTATGGTATACTGTAGGACATAGTCTATAGGATTTACTCTGTTATACATTGTACGGTATGGCCAGCATTACTGTATTTACAAGATTTAATAAAACTACAAAATTTACGCCAATTTGGTGTAGGATTCCAAAGGATTTCGTTTACGTTTAGGATATCTTCTTCCGTCGATGTATTCAAACTCATAGCCAAAAAAGGCGGCGAAAACAAACATCAGACCAAAGCCTACAAATGAGAGGATCGATAGGACAACCATCACGAGAGAGGCCGTCTCGAAGAACCCGCGGCTATATCGCGGGCATAATCGTGATATCGCCCACAGACTGAAACTTATCAAAAACATGATGGGAATGATGACGAGCCCGACATCAAACGTCTTCTCGACGAGTGGACAGCCGACCAGTTTGTCCACAACTTTGACCCGAACGGGACATTCGGGATGTTCTTTGTTAAGACTCCTTTCGAGCCGTTTGGCGTGATATACGTTTTGAAACCAACGAACGGGGATATGAATTATGGCTCTCAATATACGCTCCGTTCGCAGCCCTCGTCCTTCTTCTGTGAACTCGTAGTCTTCTTCTTCGCTCTCATCTGATTCCTCGTCCTCATCGGTCTCGCGAGTGGTCTTATGCGCCCATAGAGTCACTCTATCTCTCAAATATGTCACTATTTTTGCCATTTTTGCGTTAAATTGCAAACAAATAAATAAAATTCTTGCAAAGAATATGTGATTATTGATTGAATACAAGGACTGTGTTATATAAGAGGCGACATATAGTATTGGAAAAAGTATTGAATTTATTGATTTATTTGTCTGCACACGAAATGCNGTGTGGGAAATATGGGCCGTAGGGCTACTCTCCATAACATTAAGGTAAGGATCACTTCCGCATAAAAGATAGCGAGTGGTATAACAATTAATTATAAATATTGTTTCCAATTAGTATATGGACACAGCGGTCGGTGCCATCAATCGAGGCATCGCTTACATACCATATGTTCCCAAATCGTCGAAAGATAATAATGAAAAACAAAACGACAAGAGTATCGGCCTTTCAAAGAGTCCGGCCGTTGTCTTCAAGAATCCCGGAAAGAAAGGTCCGTTTATTGTACGAACAGATCCGACACCACCGCAAACGGCCACCGCATCGACGCCACCCGTCACACCACTTCCCGAAGACTTCCTCGACATTGACGACGAATTCGATCTTCCGATCACTTTAGCGATTCTAATACTAATTATCTATCTATTGATTGGAGCCGTTATATTCTGGTCGAGCGAGAAGTGGTCACTTCTTCACGCGTTTTATTTTGTGTTTATCTCGATGTCAACCATCGGGTTCGGCGATTACGTGCCGTCCAATCAGAACGTACTGTTGGCCGCATTCATATACCTGTTGTTTGGTTTGGCGCTGACCTCGATGTGCATAAACGTGGTTCAAATCAAACTGAGCGCAACGTTTCAAAAGGCAAAACTCTTGGTCGGAGAGACCATCGGTCTCGACGTACAGCAGATTATGCTTGTTCTCAACCTGTTACTTTTGTTCCTATTCCTCAGCTCTGCCGGGAGTTTCCTGTGGTCAGAACTATTTAGCTGGCGTTCAGTGCTTTCATCACAACTTTTCGTTTGATTGTTTTGCTGATTTTTCAAGAATTTGACGGTTAGTTAAAGTGATTAGGTTTATGATACAAAATATTCATTTATACTGTAGTCACAAATATCAATAATTTAATAACTCTTATAGTTTTAAAATTTAATGTTAAGTTATCGTTTTTGTAGTTATAAATATAATTGTTTTAATATTATATATTTGTACATTTTTGTTGTCATAATATTGCTATTTATACTGTATATTGTATTATTTGTTAAACTTGTTTTCATTAAATAAATTACTTTTGCATTAAAACTATTTTTCAACGAAATTAAAGTTTCTATTATTAGATATACAGTATTACTGTAACAGTAATATTATTCACCGGAAAAGTAATCTGTGTATAAAAATCTCACAGAAAGATAAGCCATAGATTTAATAAGAAAATATTTACTTAACTTTTAAACGTCATTTACATGTATTCTTGAGAAATTTAAATCATTTCTCAAATTACACTTTATATACAGTTATTATATTTAATAATTCTTTAGAGAATTTGTATAAAAATTGCATTTCGTGTGCAGACAAATAAATCAATAAATTCAATACTTTTTCCAATACTATATGTCGCCTCTTATATAACACAGTCCTTGTATTCAATCAATAATCACATATTCTTTGCAAGAATTTTATTTA